GTATAATATATTATAACATTACTTCAACAATTTTTTCCGTGAAAGGAAACAGCTACACTACTCAAAATAAACCGATTATGTGATGTGTCAAGTTATCATTTGATACCTATAAATGAAGGTCGCTCTTATATTCTAGGTAGTTTGTTTAGAATTTCGAGCAAAGCTACACTGCGAAAGACTAGAGAGAAGGTAGTTATGGGAAATCGAACCCGCGACCCTCAAGCGCCCTAACCACCTGGCCATGCCGGGCCTAGTATGATTAGTATAGTGAGTGTAGGTCTAACAGAAGTGTCGTTATCACCGACTCGTGGTATTGCCTGGCTGTTGAAAGACAATTGTCATTAGGGTCTATTAACAGTAAAGCGGCGTAGGTGATTCAGTGGATAGAGGACTGGACTGCGTCCGAGGGTCCATTGCTCGTGGGCCGTTGTCGCAAAATCATGAGCCGTACGTGCGTTATAAGAGTGACGGTTAAATAACATTATTCGATTAGAACGGATCCATAATTAGCGTCGGGTACTGTTGACTAAGTGCTTCCCTATAGTCAACAGCTCAAAATTGTGAAGAGTTTTGCGAATATCCCTATCAAACAAACAAACAAACAGTGGAAATCACAAGGGAATACGTTTGCCAGTCATACAGATTTTAGTTGCTTGTCTATATTATAGAGCGAAAAAAATAAATAAACAGGCTTATAAAGTACAATAAATACCAGAATGTGTCCCAATTCGCCAATTCTTTAATAGTGGTCAAGAATTGACTACTGTATTATGCAAAGAACAAAACTCTTTATGGCAGTCGTCAGCCAGTCAGAAAACCACTTGTCTCAGATGCAAATAGTAAAGCTAGTCTTTAAAAAATGGCGCTTAAAGTGCAAATCATGAGCAGTGAATAAATGGAAGCATATGATGTTGTGTTATATATATATATGTGTGTGTGTGAGTATATATATAACTACAGTTAGTGTATAATTATATATATATATATTACAGTACATAAAATAATAATAAAATTACATTTTTAGAGATCTTATTAGGAACACCTGAATAAGTGTTGCTGTGAAATGTGGTTTGATACTGTAGACGAACCCCTTGATGAATGAAATATAGTTAAACAAGGCCCCCTTCGTCATCTTAACACAAGATTTAAGAACAACAAGGAAAATATTTGTCCATCTAGGCCGTGTCATCTGTTAAAAAAGAATATAAAAACTTAAAACTAGCCCTTATCATCCAAATATTTATTAAGCCTTCCCTTAAACTCCCTTAAGTCTACAGCATCCACAAAATCTTAAGATAACTCATTCCTTCAGACAGCCACCCTGAAGATAACCCATTCCATCAGACAGCCATCCTGTAACTCATTCCATCAGACAGCCACCCTGAAGATAACCCATTCCATTAGACAGCCACCCTGTTAGAAAAACAACACTTTCATAACTGAAAATGACTCCCATTTTGCCAAAGTATAAAGTTGTGTCCCCTAAACCTACCATTCTCATTATTACGTATGAAACCAATAAGATGGTGCATTAACACTACCCATTTCCTAAACAATTTTAAACATCCCAATAAGATCCCCCTCTAGCCCTTCTTTTATTTTTCAAGGGAAAACAGTTTCAAAAATCTTAACCTAGCCACATATGACAACCCTTCCATTCCAGGTATCATTCTAGTAGCCCTTCTTCGAACCTTTTCCAACAATTCAATGTCCTTTCTAAGGTAAGGAGCCCAAAACACAACACAAATTAGTAACCTATACAATGAAATTACAACCTCTTTATACTTGTATTCAATATTTCTGTAAATACAATCTGAAATCCTGTTTGTCCTGCCACTAGCAACAACACCTTTCTTGGGTGGTTTAAAAAACAGACCAATCAAAACACGAAGATATTTTTCTTTCATGACACTGTTAAGTTTATTCTCATCAAGATTGTACTTATGAATCCAATTATGATAACCCATTTGCATTTCCTTGCATTTATTACAATTAATTATAACATTAATCCAGTTTGACTGAACTCCATTTATAACAACTCTCTACTTTCTTCCATCCATCCACTCTTCTATCCAATTAACTAACTTATCCCACACACCTATAGCAATCATTTGTTAATAAGGCTTTTTACGTGATATCTTGTCAAACGCTTTTTGAAAATTCGGATACACCAAATACACATCATTACTCTACTCTACATAACCTTTCCAAAAAATGTCAAAAGCTTAGTGAGGCAAGAACTGTCCATAGTGAAAGCATGTTGACTATCCAACAAAATTTCAAACTTTGTTAAATCACTTCAAATCCTCTTTCACCAGACTTTCAAAAACGTTTCCCACGAGTGATGTAACGGAACAGTTTTTATCACCACCTTTGAAAAGTGGAGTAACATTAGCCAACATCCGATCTTCTGGCACCTGCCAGGGGTGGATTGGCCCGGCCAATATCACACGCTGCATACTGGCTAAACAATTACAACTTATAATTAATTTTTAAGAATGCATCAAATGCACCAGCCTACCGCAAATGGCTGTAATATCTAATCCTTAACCTCCTTCAAAATCCTTGGGGTCATAATATCTGGCAATGGCGTATCCAGGTCGGTGGCTTTGGTTTATCGCACCTACATATATAAATCAATAGCTCACAAACTATTAAGAAATGTAAGGGTAACTGCCTTTCCACAACTGGCTATAAACAGTAAAAGGCAGTAGAAGCTGAGACGTTGTGGGTGTAAGCACTCAGCTTCGTACCCTTTGATTTATTTTTTTATGATTTTCCATAACGGCTGACTAGATTGATATCGGCGTTTGGATTTTGTCTGATAGATGGGATATCCCCAACGCATTTGGGTGCTATTACCATAGACATTATCCGTTATGACAATAAGTTTACAACCTGGATCGATAACGGTAATGCGATATTGTATATATATATATATATATATATATACAAATATACTTGTATAACAGTAATCAAAACATATAAAAATATCCAAAATCATCATGAAAAATGCGTAACTAAAAATGAATTAGCATTTGGCATAATAAATAATACTAAATTAGCGCCATGTGGCATTTACTACCCTACTTTGCACCGCAATCATGAGCGATATACTACCAATGTGTTTAACGCCCGTTGATAGGCTGAACTGTCTTCGCTACACTAATCACCATAGACAACACATATAATCAGTACTCGCACAGTCACTGCGGTCAACGATGGCTATATCTCGTGTAATTAACATCTTGTGTCACTGCTTTTTCAAAACAGCAGTAATTATATATTTGCGCTAGTAATGGATGAGATTCAAATATTTTTGTATTGACTAAAACACTATTTTCTTTTAATTCTCCAAAGGCTGGTTTACAGCAGGTAAACGCGATAACACGGAAAATACGTCACTGTTGTCTGGTCCAAGAGCCTTATGATTCTTTAAACTTCCAAACGCTTTTTTAACAAGCGAAAAGTGGATCAATCCTATATTAATTGGGTGTTCTATAATAAAATGATCAAGTATTGCACAGAACCTTTTCTGTTTATATATGTATTCAACTCAGAATATACATAGCTTATAGTGATGCGTGTTTCCTACAATACAAGTTACTAACTTTCATGTGGTATGTTTGTACTTTTTCGCAAAAAGATCCAAGATGAAGACACGACATCTACTTACCATATTATTGAATCTCCCAATGAGCTATACAATCTGCTAGAAATACCACTAGATGTCGCCCTTTACGTAAAGGCAGGCCTAATCCAAACGGAAGTGGTGTCGCTTGGCCTGGATTTGTTACTGAAGGATATTCAGCAGCGCAAGAATACAATTTATCTCTGTATTATAGTGAAAACTAGAACGGTAAGTTGTTGCATAAGTCAAACTTATATAAAAAAATGTCGTTTGTGTCACTAACGCATGATCAACAACTGTTGGTGGTTGTAAGAAATATCATGACGAACCCTTCTTTATAATACCTTTGGGTTATTCATAGAAAACTGTGATGACTCCTATAATTTATGTTATGTCACGCGAACAACTTGCAAATAAAACTTATACTTTAAAATTTGATTCTGAAATTTTTGCCAGTTTCTGAATATGTCACTAATTAAAATAAAATTGTAATTGTCAACTATAGTATTTTACTGCCTCACTTACGTGTAGTAAGTTGTTTTACCAACACACTGATCTGATCTCGGCTTATTTATGGTGTTTTAAACAAATTTTTTAAAATCGATCAAAGAAGTTTGCAAAAATAGTTTTCCATTAAAGTTCTTACCGAAGAGCAGATAATGTGGTACAACTTTTATTGTATTTACTCGTCAATTTCAGAATTATTTCTCGTACAATCAAAGGCACAAACGCTTCAACATTTGGCCCTGTACCTATACTATAATTTTTCATTGAAGCTAGAACTTAAAGAGCATAGTGTCTCTGTTTAACATATCTTCTTGAAATATACCAGAAGAAACAGATTGTTGTATTTTGGAGTTTTGAGTTATGGCTTCAAACCACCTTTAACTTTATCTGATGCAGATATTTCATGATATATGTAATGTAGTAAAGTACAAAATTTAAATATATATATATACCATGTTGCTTATCGGAATATCCAAGGTTCGAGTCGTCATATATCTCTAAATACGCTTCATACTTTCAGTTGTGATAGCGTTTAGGGATAGCTAAGCCTGAACCTTAGGAGTCTCTGACCTAGCTGTCTAGCTCAATGGTTCCCAAACTATTTTACTCTGAGGCTCTCTTGATGTGAATAAAAAAGTTTGAGCCCCCCCCCCCCAACCTATAACCTTAGCATAGTGATTGAAAAACAATGCCGCTGTAAAAACAATAACATCTCCTTTCGACATACTGTATCAGTTAATTACTTCAACATCATTTTTATCGGCTTATTGTTTATTTAGAATTCAAATTAATTCAGCATCTTTGTTTTCGGCTCATTTTTGGCGGCCCCCAGGAGGGCCGCGCCCCCACTTTGAGAAACACTGATCTAACATATGTTTCGTATAAGAAGCCGTTCAGATAAAAATACCAATACAAGATTAAACGATAACATGGTGGTGGTGCACAGTTTCGTCTTTCATTTTCTGTGTATAATCCTAAAACTAAAACTAAACTTATTACATGTCCCCTGATTAACGTATATTGGAATTTTTCTATAACACATTTTCTATTTTTAAAATATGCAATAAATATGTTCCGTTAGAGGTAAAGAACCAAACAACGATCATTAGGTACAGGAAAATAAACTGCTTCTAATGCCCTCGTTTCTAATTATTCTTCTGCATAACGACCACTCTTAACTTTGCTGTAACCTTCATAAACTTGTTATTGCTTTCTAGGTTAAAAGGGGGCTTTTGTCGGGTGCCTCTCTACTAGAAAGATGGAAGGAGCTTGATCCTCGAGTTCTGGGGACTCATTATTGTAGCTCTTTGGAGTTTGGAGGAAGATTATTGGTGTTAGCCCAGATCCAAACTAACCATCCTGCTGACTTCATTCAGGTTAAAAAGATGTTGACCGATAATATAGGGGAAAGTGGACCTTTTTCTGACAGCATAGCAGGTAAATAGAAATATGCACTGAATAAAAATTCTTTTTGTATTTTACTTCAATTTTGTTTTCTCTAGGAGTGTCTAAACCAGTTTCGTTACGTATGCTTGGACGTAGACAAGAATAATTATTCATTAAAACCGAACTCTTAAAGTTTTTATTATATTTAGTCTACTTAACGAACCTGTAACATTTTGTTTTATCAAAATGATAACATATTCACAAGCATATAGATTCGCGACGTGAAAACATGCTAGTGAAATGTTTTAAGTATTGACTTAACTAAATATTTATATAAAAAATTATTGTCTTTGTAAGCATAATAATAATATAATTATGATGTTAATAAGAACTTAAGCTTGTTAAATAAGTTATATTATACGCTTATTTATTCTTGAGAGGTTATTCTCTTCCCCTCAGAAAATTGGCTTCACTTAGAAGAGAGTCTGAAAAAGCAGGACCTGCGAGGAGAGGTTAAGCTCTCAATGAACAGCTACAGCACGAGCGACACCCAATCCAACATAGAACTACCAGGAGATTTGCTTCGCCTGGTCAAAGACTTCCCATCAAAAGTCCGAGAAAACGGCATTGGTGATCCTATGATTATGACATTAGAACCACTGACCAGTATTGACTCATCGTTTCCTGATGTCCGGCAAGAGATGTAATTATTAATGCATAAATAGATAGACAAATAAATAGATGCCCATCGGTGGGAAACAAGTGTTGTTAGTAACCTCTTTCACATTAATATTAATGCCAAATCTGGGTCCTTCTTAATGTTTTGATAACCCTTATACCAAAAAATAAGAGAAAGTCCTTTGATAACTCGTAGTTTACAACTAGAATACTGGGCATTTGGGGCATTATTCCCTGAATACCTTAAAATAGAAACAAAAATCGTCGTCGAGTTAATTAGAATACTATGAATTAAAGACAAATTCTTGTTAGATCTTTAACTACTTCAACTTATGTTTCTTGTTAGATCTTTAACTACTTCAACTTATGTTTCTTGTTAGATCTTTAACTACTTCAACTTATGTTTCTTGTTAGATCTTTAACTACTTCAACTTATGTTTCTTGTTAGATCTTTAACTACTTCAATTTATGTTTCTTGTTAGATCTTTAACTACTTCAACTTATGTTTCTTGTTAGATCTTTAACTACTTCAATTTATGTTTCTTGTTAGATCTTTAACTACTTCAACTTATGTTTCTTGTTAGATTTTATAACTACTTCAACTTATGTTTGTTTTTATGAGAGAAACAACCTATTCTGTAAGTGAATACATAGAGAATTTAACTCATCTTAAGCCAACTCTTTGCTCACTATTGATGTTGCACGTAGTTTGAGAAGTGTTTTAACTCCCAGCTTTACTGACTTCTCTTTATAAATCATTCACTTCTTTGCTTTCGCTCATAAGTTCTTAGAATTACTAATGTAGTTTTGTCCCATTGATGGGGAGTTGCTTGAGTCGTTCTACAAATAAGGATATAAACTTGCTGGTTCGCCAGTTCTTCTAAAACATCGACCAATAGAAAAACAAAACAAAAAACAATTCGATAAGTTTTTCACTGCTGATTACCTCAATTCTTGTAGGAAAACCGAGGACTTGAAGCTGATTATCTCGATGTTTGATGATCTCAGATATACCAAATCTAATCTGAACAACTGGATTGTAAAGATTGATGAGCCAATTAGTGAGAACGAGGAGTATGCGGTACGTTGTGTTTAAACTAATCCTGACGTTTGAGTTATCCATTACTTTATTATAATATAGCAGAAAAGTATAATACGTTATAACGTTGTTGGCCCTGCATGGCCAAATGGTTAGGGGCGATCGACTCGCAATCTGAGGGTCGTGTGTTCGAATCCCTGTCCTACCAAACATGCGCGCCCTTTCAGCCGTGGGGGCGTTATAATTTATGGTCAATCCCACTATTCGTCGGTAAAATAGTAGCCCAAGAGTTAGCAGTGGGTGGTGATGACTAGCTGCCTTCCCTCTAGTCTTTCATTGCTAAATTATGGTTTGTTTGTTTGAAGTTAAGCACAAAGCTACACAATGGGCTATCTGTGCTTTGCCCACCACGGGCATCGAAACCCGATTTCTAGCGTTGTAAGTCCGCAGACATACCGCTGTGCCACTAGGGGCGATAAATTAGGGATGGCTAGCGCAGATAGCCCTCGTGTAGCTTTGCGCGAAATTTAAAAAATAAACAAACAAATATAACGTTGTTGTAAACACTACCGGCATTAAAGTTGAAATCCTATCCGTTACGTAGTCAAGCTCTAAAGTGAAATATCAATGTATTATACAGAGTGTTCATAATTTATATATACAAAAAAATGTTATACAGAATGGAAGGTATCTGAAGTAATTAGCATAAATTTGCACATTGCGACCAATAGTCGCGTGTTTTGTTTCCCAAAGTAACGCCTCCACATTTCATGTCCGGCGAACATTAACATATTATCACATGTTCGCCCCCCAGTGGCACAGCGGCATGTCTGCGGACTTACAACGCTAGAAATCGGATTTCGATATTCGTGGTGGGCAGAGCACAGATAGCCCTTGTGTGGCTTTGTACATAATTAAAAACAAACAAACAATCACATGTTCTTCTTTGCTTACATTCATAAGTTCTTAGAATTACTAATGTAATTTTCTCTCGTTGATGCCGTGGCTACTTAACTCGATCCAGTTTTTCTGGATGAATAGTAAGGTTAATTCAAAGTAAAAGTAATAATAATAAATAATTGGTGTTTAAAATTATATTGTGCATTTAATCCTTACCGTAATTCTGATTTGTAAATAACTTAAATAATTTATAATAATCACACGTCACTTACTTAGTCTAGTGCATGTCATAATAGTTATTACTTTTGCAATTTATGATACAAATAGCTCCTTGACAACTACTATGTCTGTTGTATCCCAGTCGGCTTGATGTGCCCTGGCACTGAGCAAAAGGACGAGCATGTTAGATGACGGAGAATCGAACCCGCGACCCTCAGATTGCAAGTCAATCGCCCTAATAAATCTACCAAGTAATGTATTTAATTGAATCTGATCTCCAGATTGCTGCACTTCTGGATCAACTGAACAATCTATTAGACGACTTCTACCAACTTATCTCAGAGACGACCTTGTACAACGTTCCAGACAGGAAGTTTCTGGAGAACACAATATACAGTTACAACATTGGCCTTCCTTTCCCAAACGCCACCTACCAGTTGGCATATCTTAGGCTAAAAGAACACATCAGTACGTAGATTTTTATATTCTTTAATCTAGAGATATCATAAAAAATATGCATATTATGTTTCTTAATTCTAACTTTGTATAACATTTATAAAATCATCAGTTTAACAGTACAAAAACAGATAAATCACATAAATTTCCTTGCCTCAGAAATAAATAGGCTAATATACCTTTTCTTAGGGCTTCTCAGATGACGTCTGGACTGAATAAGTTTTATTTGGAACATCCTCAAGGTATATTTTCTCAGGTGACCTCGACTGAGTAATTATTTTCTTGGAAATACTTCATGATTTCCAAACTACTGTCCAAACTTCGTAATGTTTTCTTGGAACGACTTCACAATATTATTTCTTTGAAATACTTCATGATTTCCAAACTAATGTCCAAACTTCGTAATGTTTTCTTGGAACGACTTCACAATATCTTTTTTTTTTTGAAATACTTCAAGATTTTCAAACTGATGTCCAAACTTCGTAATGTTTTCTTGAAACGACTTCACAGTATCTTTTCTTGAGATTTCTCAAACGACATCCAGGCTGAATAATGTGTCTTTGGAAGGACTTCACAATATCTTTTCTTGAGATTTCTCAAGCGACATCCAGACTGAATAATATATCTTTGGAACGACTTCACAATATCTTTTCTTGAGATTTCTGAAGCGACATCCAGGATGAATAACGTGTCTTTGGAACGACTTCACAATATATTTTCTTGAGATTTCTGAGCGACATCCAGGATGAATAACGTGTCTTTGGAACGACTTCACAATATATTTTCTTAGGGTTTGTCAAGTGACATCTAGATTGAACCTTTTTTTTTCAGAACAACCTCAATATATATTTTCTCAGGGCTTCTCTAGGTAATGTTTCCTTAGAACAACCTCAAGGTACCTCTCCTTAGCGATTTTTCGGGTGATACCTCGACTGAGTAATATTTTCTTGGAACGATTTCAAGGTATCTTTCCTTAGGGCTTCTCTGTTAACCCCAACTGAGTAATGTTTTTCGAATGACCTTAATATTATATAACCGATCCATAACTATGAGTAATCGCATTTTTTGTGAAAGTATTTCATATATACTTTTTTCAATGAATGTGCAATGATATTTTTCAGTTTTACGACTATCTGGAAGTTGTAAGTATCATGTTAAAATAAGTAGTTTCTTAACGTTTCGTAATCCGATTAGGAAAAAAAATAAAGTGAAAAATATAAAATTTCATAGAAAAGTAACAAGTATTAATATAGAAATAAAATGAAGATTAGCTGTAAAATTAGTCTTAATGTGTATGTGTGTTTTTAATAGATGTGAAATGTGAGGCTGCGTTTCGGGCACCGATAAAAACCCACCTTATGGCTGACGTTTTTGAAACTGTGGAGCACGGGACTGTGACAGGAGGACTAGAAGGTTGTAAAGACCTTTGTTTCGACGATGTCAAGTGTCGCTCTATCGGCTACGGGGAAAATCTACAGAAGTTTGATGAACAGATTGGTAACTGGGTTGAAGTAAAGAACTTGTAAGTAATTTTCACTGGATATAGCAGATATAGTGTTAAGCACAAAGCTACACAAAGAACTATCTTTACTATGCCCACGTGGGTATCGAATCTCGGTTTTTAGTGTGGTTGATATATTGTTAGCCATTCGTCTTCATTTTCACTCGGAAGTTCGTAGAATTAAATAAGAATACATTGTGAGAACTTTGAATGAGCGTGGCTCAAATATATTACTGAAACAAATACAAGCTTAAAATTAACGTGAATAATGACGTGTAAATGAAATATAAAAATTCCTGAAAAAAAAACAACAAAAGGGAATCCTCAACAGCCGCAGCACTAGAAATTTCATTTTGGCAAGATTAGAGTAAATTATCTATAAGACATTTTCCCCTTTTTATTAGCTATATTTTCGTGTGCCAGCAATACCAAGCGTGGGGTGCGCATATACCCAATTTGATTTTATTACTCATCAGGATTTCTACCAACCTACCCTCAAATTTGTATTCTTAATGGCAAGATTAAAGTAAATTAATCTACGAGACTTTGGGCGTGTTCAAATATATCAATCGAAAGGGTTTGACCTACTGAATCCAAGACTGTAATTAGATCTTAAATAGGTCAAGAGATGACGAAGTTATGAGCTAAAAGTTTGTACTTAAAAATATATATCAGAGCATTCTATGAACCGTCATGCCGCTGATAAAAAAAGGAGTTACTACCACATTATATATTATGACAGAACATAACAATTTTACAGTAATTGTATTTATGGATATAACGTGCGGCATCAAGAAGCTTAGCTTTTATGGTTTCGGGTATTTTCAATTTGTTTAATTATCTATAAAAAGCATAAGAAATCGTACAAAGCTTAAAAGGGGTGACGTCTCTGCTGATTTAAAAAAACAGTTGTTGATTTATGTGCATTGATATCATGTCAAATGTTTGTTCTTTTTTATCAAATATATCAGTTTTTTTTATATTAACAGATGCTGGGTATACTTCAGAAGTACAGTAACAACATCCTTAAAAGACAATTCTGAACTTATTTTTGGAGATCTATTTGTTTACGACCGTATATGTTACAGTTAGGACACCGATGCTCTATATCAGTGTCATTGTTCTACAGATTTTGTAGGTTTGAATTTGTTTCTTTGTATCTTTTTACATGAAGACTGATCTCTTGAACTAAACACTTTAAATTTACGTATTATATTTTTGAATTTTTAATAGATATATATATTGTCAGACACTGTTATCAGTTAACTTTAACATAGCTTTTAAAGTAAGCGGTTAGGCCTAATTCGTGTACTGATCTATGTACTCCTACAATGTTTTCTCATAAATAAAGAAAAACTTTCTCTGTTGTTCTTTTCAATGATTTGTTGTTTTTAATATACTCCATTTCCGCGTTTTATAAAAATAGGCACATTTACTGGTTTGGTTTGGTTTATTTTGAATTACGCAAAGCTACACGAGGACTATCTGCGCTACCCGTTCCCAATTTAGCAGTGAAAGACTAGAGGGAAGGCAACTAGTCATCACCACCCACCGCCAACTCTTTTATCAACGAATGGTGGGATTGACCGTCACATTATAACTCCCCCACGGCTGAAAGGTTGAGCATGTTTGGTGGGATGGGCACATTTGCTGTTGACATGAATCGAGATTCAATTATTTGAATTATTTTGGAGCTGAAATATTACTCACAGACTTACTGGATAACTAAAACAAAACAAATTGTTCTTAAATCCGTAAGACAATATTGCTGAAGTTTTATTTTTTACACTAATTCAAATCGTAATATAATAAAAAAACACAATCCATATTTTCCTCTGTCTCCGTAATTTAAAGTTTGAAGTGCTAAAAATAACCTCGTACTTCTAACTAAGCCTACCACTAACAACATCTGAATACTAAAATAGAAATTCGCAAACTTCAACACTAAATCACTTTTCACAGTTTTAGTAATTAGCTCATATATAACTATTGCTTAATTTTGAATTCTAACCAGATCTTGTTCTAACATACATTCACGCTAATATTTCACATTAATTCGCTCATAAAGCCAAATTTTACAGTTCTGTCGTAGTTTCTATAACAAACTATACTGCACTAGTTCTGTAGTGGTTAGATATTAATTCTGTGGTGTTTAGCTCATTAGCTATATAGTGTTTAGTTCATTAGCTATATAGAATTTAGTTCATCGAAATAATATTGAAGGTCATTAATACCTTTTAGAAACGATGACTAAGTTCAGTATTCTAGTATTGAAGACCATAAAAAACAGTTAAAATCCTGATGTAGTATGTGCTAGCTTTATGCAGACTCCTTGTTCTCTAACATACACTAATACGAAACAATCACATTTTATCTTCTATGGTAATATCTATGAACAGCCTGACAGAGTAGCGACGAAGTGTGGCTTGCATCTATTCTAGAAATTTTTTTTTCTGCTTTCACGAGATATGTTGATGACACTTTTAAAATTTCTTGAATACGTGAACAAGCTGAAAACTTTCTGACTAATTTAAAACAACTTAATAACATTAAATGTACTGCTTGTTATGAGAAAAATAATAGTTTGCCGTTTTTGGATATCTGTATTTCAAATTAGTATGTGTGTTCACTATATCGTCTTTTCCTAAACCTACTTTTATAGGACTTATACTCTCATATTGATAACTTTATACCTTTGATTTACAATGAAAACCTGACTTTATACCTTTGATTTACAATGAAAACCTGACTTTATACCTTTGATTTACAATGAAAACCCGTTTAAAATATTAGTTAGTCGTTCTCATAAATAACTGAGTAATAATGTGCCGTTTCACACTCAGTTGAGGAACATTAAAGAATGCTTTTATAAAAATCCTTTCACTATAACTTTTTGTGAAAAGGTTATTTACATCACCTTGGCAACAATGAATGATCGACCACTCTTCTTACAGTTTACGGGAAAACAGTCATATAACATAAACAATGAAATTAAGCAATAATTAATAGCAATTATCCACACGTACAATTTTAACTACATCTTTAAAACACAGAATAAACTAAGAACTATGTTCCCTTAAGGACTAAGTTGAATTTACGCAGATCACTGTAGTATATCTCTGCGCATGCCCAAGTTGCAGACTTGAATTTATTGGTTCTACCACCAAGAGGCTTTAGCAGAGAGAGATACAGAGAACACCAGAGGTTAAAAATTTTATATTCCACTAGCATCGGTAAACACACATTGAAGTGTGGTGATATTCAACCATATAAATAGCACTTCAAAATGAGTTTACAAACCAGTAATGAAAGTTATCTACACACATTGGAATGTGGTGATATTCAACCATATAAATAGCACTTCAAAATGAGTTTACAAACCAGTAATGAAAGTTATCTACACACATTGGAGTGTGGTGATATTCAACCATACAAAGAGCACTTCAAAATGAGTTTACAGACCAATAATGAAGGTTATTTACACACACTGGAGTGTGATGATATTCAACCATACAAAGAGCACTTCAAAATGAGTTTACAAACCAGTAATGAAAGTTATATACACACATTAGAATGTGGTGATATTCAACCATACAAAGAGCACTTCAAAATGATTTTACAGACCAATAATGAAAGTTATCTACGCACATTGGAAAGCATCGCCCTTCAACTCTGAAAACTAGCGTTCACTAACAGAGAACAGGTTCTACCTCTTAAACATAAACTCTATTTAGTTTATCGAAACTTCAAAACATGATTTACGTATGTATAATTGTGACGTACACACAAACTTCAATTAAATAATAAGTGGGTAGTATCCAACATATTTTTTTTTAAATTACATGAATATCAATTTCAAAATAACTTGTACATCATCGATTATCGACATAACACGTGCAGTTTTACGTGCGTGTACACACATCTAACAAAGATGCACCACGAACAGAAACGAACCCTATGATAAAAAGCAAGTCCCCTAAGAAACTCCTGGCAACACCCATGTTTCCTGTGTTCCTAGACTTAAAAAACTTCAGAGCTTGATTTTCTCAGATAATGTTCACACCACAGCTTGCTGATTGCTTCGATACCTGTAGATATTTTGAGCTGTCTCTGAGCAAGTTTAGTGGATTCCAACTGAGCATATACAACGTATCTCAGAAATACTTCAAGTCTGCCCTCATAATTCGATGTGATTTTTTTTTGTTTTATGTTCGTTAGTTTTTGTTAAACACAAAGCTACACAGTGGGCTATCTGTGTTCTGTCTACCGCGGGTATTGAAATCCGATTCGTAGCATTATAAACCCTCGTACTTGCAGCTGAAACCACCGGGAACCATTTTTTCCATTAATAGCTTGGCTGAATTTATCATTATCTGGAAATCAATGAGTCTCTTCTGGTGGTAGTAATGAGTAAAGCTTTTCATGTTTCCACAATATTTTATGTCTTTCACCTTCATCTTACTATTGAGTTTAGCCCATAACATCTTGTTATGAGATATGTTAAAATGACAAGACACAGATTTTTTATCCAGTCGTCATGTACTCATATCAGTATGTACGTTTATACATCTATATCTTCCTTTATCAATTTACAGAAACTCGCCTTCAAGAGGTTTGGTTTGTTTTGAATTTCGCGCAAAGCCACACCAGGACTATCTGCGTTAGCAGTCCCTAATTTAGCAGTGTAGACTAGAGGGAAGGCAGCTAGTCATCACCACCCACCGCCAACTCTTGGGCTACAGTTTTACCAACGAATAGTGGGACTGACCGTCACACTATAACGCCCCCACGGCTGAAAGGGCGAGCATGTTTGGTGTGAGGGGGATTCGAACCCGCGACCTTCAGATTGCGAGTCGAGTGCCCTAACCACCTGGCCATGCCGGACCCGCCTTCGAGAGAGGAGCTAATGGGTGGAAACCTCAGTGGTTGACGAATCGGTGTAGTTTTGTTTTGTAATCGCTTTAAACTTTATCCTTCCCCGGATATATAAATTTATATTGCAACATAACATGGAGAGTACACTGATTTTTTTACAACATTATGCATCGCCATATTTTAGGGGGGGGGAGTGTCATTAAGTCTACGAATGACAACTGAAAAAGGAACAAATGTTTTCCTTGGATGGAACCATTATCCAGTTTCGTATACCGATAGTGCCGCACTTATTACCAACTTAAAAAGGTTCTTTGTTCATTTGAGAATTTTCATGCAAAGCTACATAAAGCCTGTCTGCATATAACCATCCCTAATTGATTAAAATGAAAAACTTGAGGGAAAGCAGCTAAACAATAATACGCACAGCCAACTCTTGGGATACTCCTGTCTATCCGTATAATAGGATTTAACAGTCACGCTTATAGCACACCCATTTTATCGGCATTTGGACGCGAATCATAAACCCTTGGATTTAAAATTCAGGCAAGCTAACCATTAGGCCATAGGTGGCCCGATTTAGAAATATTTTGTGCTATCGGGTTATAAGAAGAAAATTTTATATTGTTATATTAATATAGTAACTGATACTCTTTTTATGTAACAGACAAAACTGACTAATTTTAGATAATAATTCCTCTGAGTAGTACATCGTTTGTATGCTAATACACCGCTAAAATGTAACAATAATACTTGTATGTATATCATCGCTGTGTTGAAATCAATAAAACCAAAGTTTTGTATTGCTGTCTAAGCTACTTTATTCCAAATTCTAAGTCGTTTAATGTAGCCATAAAACCTACAGCTTGTAACGGATTTAATTAATACTCTCTCTTTAAGTGTTTCAAGCTCTGATCTTGTACTACACTGTAGATGAAGAAGGCTGAGTTATAATGGTTAATAATTACATTCCACATTAAGGTAATGGTGGCGCATGTGGGATTAAAATATTTGTTTAAGTAGGCCTAAAGTTTACATCGCATTTTGTGGAAGCAGTATTTGTTTGTTTGTTTTTGTTTTTGAATTTCGCGCAAACCTGCACGAGGGCTATCTGCGTTAGCCGTCCCTAATTTAGCAGTGTAAGACTAGAGGGAAGGCAGCTAGTCAACACCACCCACCGCCAACTCGTGGGCTACTCTTATACCAACGAATAGTGGGATTGACCGTCACATGATAACGCCCCCACGGCTGAAAAGGCGAGCATGTTTGGTGGGACGGGGATTCGAACTCGCGACCCGCAGATTGCGAGTCGAGCTCCCTAACCACCTGGCCATGCCGGGCCACCAGTATTTGAAAAAAAAATTTAAGTATTTTTCTTTGTTTTTACGCATAACCGTTAATAATGATTTTTAGGTTCAGTACTGAAGCAGACAATAACTCTCCATTTTATAATACTTAACCACAAACTACTGCTTTCACAATTTAGTCTCAATGTCACAATCTTGGAAATTCGACGCGTGTGTGTAGCGAAAGTTAATCGTTCAAAGTCAGAAAAACAAACGCTTCTTGGGAAAATATCATGTGGTCCTGGAAAGCTGCTTGCCCTAAGTCATATCACACGGATTTCCTGTTGATAATAGTAACAAGGTATGTGATACGTATTAATTCACGAAGGCCGTCAGTAATACAGTACTTCGGTAACACTATGTCAATTGCTTTCTCTACTTTGATGTAATTGGTTACTTGAAATATTTTAATTGACCTATTAGTTTATATCAGTGCCCTCTGGTGGATTTTATTTTTCTTGTCCAACAAAAAAAGATTGCATAGTTGTTTGTAGTCAACGCTGCTTTTTCGGATAGAGATTGACTAGCAGTGTGTCCAGGTAACATAAAATATTTTCAACTGCTTATCTTTCTTGCAATACATTTTGTGAAATTTATATATGTATTTATAAGGAATTATTTTTCTCAGTGAAGAGACATATATATAGAACAATTGTTTTATGTGGATGAAAATAGATAATAAAGTAAATATATAAAGCGCGTTAGCCAAACAGAAATCGCTCCTATACACTAGATAGATAGATAGATAATGGGTTTGTACGTGGTACCCGTCTTGTCTTTAACTGGCTGATTACAAAAATAAAATATATATTTCTTTATTTCTCTAAACTACAAATCTTAACTAACTAGAATTATTTATATGAATTAAAATTATTATATGATATCTGGGACAGATTCGTTGTTTATCTGTTTTGAAGACACTGGGAAGCTTTAAATTTATTTCAGTAGGAAGCTGTGATTACTTTAAGATTGCATGTTTAGGTTTTTAGCCACTAAATTATCACAATTTATTTTCAAATAAATATGAAGCTATGAAAATAATATTACAAAATCTTTGGGTTTTCTATAGTGGAAATATACTGACTTTGCATATTTCTATTGATGCCTAGTCTATGAACGAAAACGTGGCAGTTACATCAGTAGAAATATATATCATAACATTCAATCAGTTCGACAGTAGTGACTTTCAACAATGACGTTTGGGGGGGGGGGGTTTCGTTTGACTCTTCTTAAAGATTTAAAAAATTATACTAATATTTTAAAACTAATAATGTGATTTTTTTAATCCGCTAGGGAGAATGAAAATTGGTGGACTAGAGTGATATTTGGGGGTGCACGACCCACACCAGCACCTCCCCCTAGCATCGGCGTTTGATATCACGTCGTTTGTTCGCACTTCAAGAAAATAAAATAAACTTGCTACTCAAAACGTTTCGTAACAACAGTACAGAGTCTCTTAATCATAGATTTACCAAATTACCTTACGTAGTTGAATAAGATTTCATCGAAGTTTACAGTTCTATTTCCAAATTATTTACCAATACAGTATCGACAAAAGTGCTTACCATAACATATTTACCGAATTACCATACCAAAACTTACATTATTACCACTAACTCTGATATATTATCAGTATTATACTGAAATTCACATTGTTAGCCCTAATTTACTTACGGTATTGAAACAAGTGTTAGCCCTAATATATTACCAGTATTGTACCAAAACTCACATTGTTAGCAACATTGAAGTACTAACTCTGATTTATTTACCAGTTCTTTATTGGTATAACACATAAACTTTGAGTTTCTGTCTTAACTACGGGTGAACTGAGAAGGGTTTTTCCTTCTTAAGTTAAAATTATAATTTAAAAAATTAGCCACGGAAAAATGTCAGGGAAAAACACAAACTGATTTACACAAATACTGTAATACTGTCAGAGAAAGAAACGGCATTGATTTTTCATTATTATTAATACTTGTATTGAATGAAAATAGAAAATTAAATACTTTGAGGCAGAAACAACAGAAACTTTAATCTTTAGTAATCTTTACACTAATCTTCTCGTTAATAAAATTTAAAAGTCTTTTGTCAAAAATTTCAAAATGTTTTAAGAATTCTGATAAATTAATGTTTTGTGTTAGCAAACACATATGTTTTTGTGAAAACTTTACATAAAAATTATCTTTGTTGCAAAATTAACGAATTCTATTACAAGCTATATATTGCTTACTTGGTAACTCTTTTGTAAAATTCGGCCAATATGTCTTTCAGTAGATATAGGAAGTACCTACCGGTTGTAGCTTCAGCCTATAAGTCGCAGATTTATGATTATTTCAACTCGAAATTTAATTCCTAATAAATCTTAGTAAGAAGGACTATGACGAGTCCTTGCACATTAAGGTAGGTATATATTGAGGATATTATTTAACCGAATTACAAAGTTACCTCGACACTGCGAAGCGCTTTTTTTCCACCAGAACTCGCGCTTGAAAAAACTTCATTTACCTGGTTTAAGATATAAGCCTAGTTAAACAAACGTTCAAGTTCACAATTTCCAATAAAAAAAAGACACTTTTAATTTTGGAGTTATAGATTTTAAAATTTCCTATTATAAATATTCCAAAAAAGTTATGTTACAATATTTATTATTCACAGCCTATTAGAGACGATTGAATTTGTTTTACATTACAAGGTTTCGTGGATGGAGTTCACAAACTCATCCATTTTTCAAAAACGAGGTTTCTACCATTGCATTTTGATCACTATATTTGATTAATTTTAAGTTAAATCCAACAATATTTTTGCTACCGATTATTGGATTAATCACTACAGAATATCAAGCCCTTTGTGGCTTTGCTTTAAAAACAAACACGTTTATTTATTTAAACTAATATTCCAGAATGAAAACTAACTTTATATATAAAATTATCATAAGAATTGTTTTTATTTATTTTTTAAATTATACGTTTGTATTGTTTTTGGCTGGAGGAGTTTTAACGAAACGTTATGGACTCATATCTTAATGTCTACGATTTTCTTTTAAAAGTTTAAAAAAAGCGATCTTGGCGATATAAAACGCCAGTTTGACTAGATTAGGGTTAGTTATTGAATGGTTATTGAGTTAGCAAGTGTGTTAATCAATTTGCCTGTTACTTAGTCAGTTAATTCAAACTGTTAAATTTTGAATTAATGTTTCAACGTAGCATTAGAATGCAGGAGAAATTAGCAAGTGCGTGACTGTTTAGCGTTATTTATGAAATTAGGCCTATCATTAGTTTGTGAAACTTGTAAACATAGAGTTTGTACTCGAAATTATAAAAAACGCTTTCATGACCATTAAGTGGCCTGGGCTTAACACTGTTTTTTTACCCAATAGCCCAAAATAATCTGCCCAACACTAGAAACCGTTAAAATAATGTAATAATACTTGTAGCTTGTAAGTGACTAACACTTCGTTATGATAATTTTATTTTTGTTTATACCCACGCCTGTTTTAGATTCAGATGAGTTTGGACATACATAAAGTACTATATTTATAAATATAAATTATGATTTTATTCATCTTAAATTCATTTTTCAGAATAACTTCTGCAGAATAGACACAACATGGCAATTATACAAATGCTATACGTATTGCCTATGTTACTGGGAAGAACCTTTGACGCCAGAAATGACAGAGTCGGCGTGGACTTGTTTCCAAATGACGTCGTAAAAAATCACGAGGTATGTTATTATAAATTAAGGTTTTATATTATTCTATGCAGCGGTTTAGTTTATACTTATCTTTATTAAATGAACTCTAATATTCGGAATTCTTATATGTATAATTGTCAAATATGATCGCTAATTTATCGTTATTATCTTCTTTTTTAAGATTCGTTTTATAAGCAAACTTTCGAATAAAGTCATTAGGCACTCACACCAACCCCTCGAAATTTTACTATAAAAACAGTGGTACAGTAAGAGAGACTAAAGTACAGAAAATTAAAATAAAATAGATTAATTCACGTATCAAACTGAACTAACTAACAATTAGCACACAACAATAACATTAATAATTGTGTAAATTTCATTAAGAAAAAAAAAGATATTTGATTCTCATATTTTTTTTTTGTATCGTTGATTAATTTGACAGTTTGTTTGTTT